GAGCGAGTTTGGAAGAAATGACGGAGCTCCTGCGGGAGCGGAGTGCATGACACTGCTGCGGCAGTGGGCCAGACTTGCTTGAAATAGTGGAGCTCCTGCGGGAGCGAAGTAGATGGCCCTGCTGCGTCAGTGGCGCAAGTCTGGATGGAGTAACGAAGCTCCTGCGGGAGCGGAGTGCACGACACTGCTGCAGCAGTGGGCCAGACTTGCTTTAAGTAACGAGGCTCCTGTGGGAGCGAAGTAGATGACACTGCTGCGGCAGTGGAGCAAATCTGGATGGAGTAACGAAGCTACTGCGGGAGCGGAGTGCACGACACTGCTGCGGCAGTAGGCCAGACTTGCTTTAAATGATGAGGCTCCTGCGGGAGCTAAGTAGATGACACTGCTGTGACAGTGGAGCAAGTCTAGATGGAGTAATGAAGCTCCTGCGGGAGCGGAGTGCACGACACTGCTGCGGCAGTGGAGCAAGTTGGATGTGGTAATTGAGCTCCTGCGGGAGCGGGGTGCACGACACTGCTGCGACAGTGGGACGACTTTGGATGGAGTGACGGGGCTCCTGCGGGAGCGGAGTGCACGACACTGCTGCGGCAGTGGGCCAGACTTGCTTGGATTGATGGAGCTCCTGCGGGAGCGGAGTAGATGACACTGCTGCGGCAGTGGAGCAAGTTTGGTTGGAGTAACGAAGCTCCTGCGGGAGCGGAGTGCACGACACTGCTGCGGCAGTGGACCGGACTTGCTTAGATTAATGGAGCTCCTGCGGGAGCGGAGTAGATGACACTGCTGCGGCAGTGGAGCAAGTTTGGTTGGAGTAACGAAGCTCCTGCGGGAGCGGAGTGCACGACACTGCTGCGGCAGTGGACCGGACTTGCTTAGATTAATGGAGCTCCTGCGGGAGCGGAGTAGATGACACTGCTGCGGCAGTGGAGCAAGTTTGGATGGAGTAACGAAGCTCCTGCGGGAGCGGAGAGCACAACACTGCTGCGGCAGTGGGCCAGGCCTGCTTGAAATAATGAGGCTCCTGCGGGAGCGAAGTAGATGACACTGCTGCGGCAGTGGAGCAAGTTGGATGGAGTAACGGAGCTCCTGCGGGAGCGGAGTGCACGACACTGCTGCAGCAGTGGGCCAGACTTGCTTAGATTAATGGAGCTCCTGCGAGAACGGAGTAGATGGCACTGCTGCGGCAGTGCTGCAAGCTTGGCTGGAGTGACGGAGCTCCTGTGGGAGAGGAGTGCATGACACTGCTGCGGCAGTGGACCAGACTTGCTTGGATTACTGGAGCTCCTGCGGGAGCAGAGTAGATGGCACTGCTGCGGCAGTGGAGCGAGTTTGGAAGGAGTAACGGAGCTCCTGCGGGAGCAGAGTAGATGACACTGCTGCGGCAGTGGGCCAGAGTTGCTTGAATTAGTGGAACTCCTGTGGAAGTGGAGTAGATGACACTGCTGCGGCAGTGAAGCACGTTAGCGTGGAATAACGGAGCTCCTGTGGGAGCGGAGTAGAAGACACTGCTGCAGCAGTGGAGCGAGTTTGGATGGAGTAACAGAGCTCCTGCGGGAGCGGAGTAGAAGACGCTGCTGCAACAGTAGATGAACTTGCCTTTGACTTGCTTTCCTGGGATCCTATTGTGAGTTGAGAGGAAGTTAGCTGAGGGGTTTCGTTGAGCTTCTTTAATATGGAGGTGGTTTGAATGGCTGTAACTCTTAGAGGCCTTTAAGAGTTTGGTATGGTTTGATTGATGATTGGAGATTGAAGATGTATATGAAGTGGCTTTTTCATTTGGTCCGACTTGCTTTGTTTAATGGAGTAAGAGATGATTTTGTTGTCTAGTACTGAAAGATCTGAGATTGTGGGATGGACTTCTGGGTTGAAGCTGGAAGTGATGGTTAGTTCTGAGCATCTGAGGAAACCGAAGAAAGCCAATATGAGCGTAGCGTCCAGTGCGGGCAGTGATAGTGGAGTGGTAGCCTCGGCGGAGGGTGGAGATGCATTTGGTTAGTATATCCAAAGTTATTGGTTGTCTGGCATCTGGGCAGTTGGGTTGTTTTTTTGGATGCCTTTGATGAGCATTGATGTCTGGGAATTTGCTATGTCTGCGGAGGGTGAACCAAATATGAAGTTTGGGGAAGAATTTGATTCCATGATGCTGTTAGTGGATCATACTTTGCCCCACGAGAAGGCTGCTACCACTAAAGGATATCACTCGAACGACGCTGAAGATGTAAGTGATTGTGGTAAATCTAGCAACTGGGCGGGCCATATAGACGCAAACCAACGGCTTTGGTAGAATCCTCCGAAACCAAAGGAGGGAGCTGCATCTGTGAACGGTTAGATATCCACGGGGAGAGAAATTAGATTATTACAGAAAAGGAGAGGCTTTTCCATTGTTTAAGGAATGTTATCCATAACTGAGTGTTGCTACATGAAGTAGTTAGGGAAATTTGGTCCTCTAGCGCGTGAACTGAGGATGTGAGGAACAGGAGATGTGGGATTTTTTTTTAAAATCTTTATTTACAGACCTTTTTCGATGGGAAGGAGATTTTTCTTCTTTCAGAATCTGTGGGTGAGAAGTTAATGTTTGCTGGTCGCAGGATGTAACTAGTTGATTTTTTCAGCTGATGAATCTGAGCGGGGAGGATTTTCAGGGTTAATCAAGGGACAAGCCGTGGTGGTGTGTAAGACAGATCTGCAAACTGCGCAGGATATGTTGCGGCAGCCTAGGAACACTCTATTATGTAGCTCTGTGTTAAGGGCACCCCAGTAAGGGCACTGGTTCCACTGAGCTACACGGACAGCGCATTTTGCTGAGAACAATTTGTGGTAAGTGTAGAAATGGGTTCCTCCGTACGACAATGCAAGCTCTGCAATTATCGCGAGATAGTCGTTCAGTTTTCTCGTCAGATGATTTCGCTATACCGGCTGAAAGCAATTGCGAATTCAGAAAATGACAGGATGCGGGATGATTTATGAACTGGGTTTTTTAAAGTGACTGCAAAATCGCCGCAATCAATTTGCCGGTTTGAAACAGTGGAAGGGAGGATAGATAGAAGGGAGGATAAATCAATGTCTGCACCTGTGAGTATCTGTGTTCTGATGTTGCTGGTGACAGGGGGCGGTTCCATAGCTGTAGCGTTCGGCGGGATGGGCATTGGCATTGCGTAAAATAAATAAAAGGAGAATGATTTTGGGGAAAGGTGTTAGGAGGAAAAAAGCCCGGGGTCGAATCCGTTTGTGGAGGCAACCTCACATTCGGGTCGGCCCCTAAAGTTTGGGGGGGAACTGGAAAATTGGGGAAGGAAGAGAGCTGGGGAGATAGGAAGTGTGTCTGGGCCTGCGGCTCTAGCTGAGGCGGCCTCGCGCTAGAGACTGGTGGTGGGACTGCAGGCCAAAGACAGGACCCTGGGCCCTGCGGCATCGGGAGAAGGTGTTCTCTGAAAACGTGAGTTTGGAGTTTTGTTATTTGTCTTTTTTGCTGTTTTTGAAGGTGGAGTGGATTTTGGAGAAGGGGAAGCTGCCTGGAGAGAAACATACAGGTTATACAGTTTTTTCATCCTCCAAGAAAAATGAACGTCAGCGCTGATTAGCGCTTGTCTCAACCCCAGCACTGTCCACTTCTCGATTGCAGGTATATTGGGTTGTGCTGAGGTGTAGGAGGAAGCTGGAGATGGAGGTGAGGGCAAACCACGGCGCCTCTGGGTACGAGAGGCGGCTCGGCTAGGCCGGCGGCCGCGCTGTGGAGCTGGAGGTTCGGGAGCGGTATCCTGTTGAGCATGGAAGCTCTTAGCGATGATAGGGAGCTGAGATGGAGCCTGACTGGTGAAGGATTCGTCGTCGGAAGGATAGAGTTCGATCTCTGACATCGTGGCAAATGGGCGGGACCAAATGCTGAAACTGTCAAGGAATGTTAGGTGAGTTGACAGTGGATTTTTATATATGCTTCCTATCATGCTGATAGGGTAGACGTGTAATTGCCTGATGACGAGTTGATTGGAATGATTTATTTGAACGTGCTCCTCCCGAACTTTGTTTATAAAACATCATTACTCTCACTGTAAAATCTGACTGATGTCAGACTATCGAACAGTGGTGTACTTTCTATATTTTCAGTAATCTTTACAAAAATATATTTGGTTACACTTTATTTTGATGTTCCACAGTAGACATTCTACTAATTATAACTTTGCAACTACATTTCAACTAACTTAGGCGGCTGTTAGAGTTAGTTGTCAGGGTTTTTAAGAATAACTTAACATGTAGTTGCAAAGTAACTCATTATCAGTAGAATGTCTGTTGGGAGAGCATCAAAATAAAGTATAAGCAGATAGTCTGCCAATACTCTTACAAGAGTTTCTGTAGTAACTCTGGCGTCTACTCAGCGACTGAACTTACGTCAGCGACTGAACATACGTATCCGAGACATTACTTATAGTTAGTTGAATGTCTAAAGTGATCAATCGAAATAATGTGTTATCGTTTGGTTCAACATGAGGGTCAGTAAGGATGAAAGAATATTCATTTTTGGACAAACTATCCCATTAAATTTCATTACTTCATAGTGCCATGGTTTTTAACCAGGTGTCCTTGAAGGTACTCCAGGGGGTCATGATGTTTCAAACTATCATTATTAATTTGTTGATGGTAATAACTAAAAGTAATGCTAAGTATTATATAATGTACTGTAGTAATGGTAATTCATGTTTTGATGAAAGATACTGAGGTTGGCTGAAAGTTTGTTGGGACATGACATCTACACAGCATGTCTGTCAAGTTTGGCAAGCATTGCAACTTCCCAAAATTCAGACTACTTGGTGTATTTCCAGTTTCCAAAATGTTATATTGCAAAGAAAATCTTGTATTTGGAGCATGTCAAAGTGAACTGACTGCTATGAAATTACAGGCCCTTTACAACAGATAAAGTTTTGTCTTGAACTAAAATCTAACCAAATACCCCATCCAGTAAAAAATGCTCAAAACAATTTTGTCTCTTACCTTAGTGTGCTCCTTACCTTTGGTTGGTATTCAGCATCGAAAAAGGGGTGAGTTTGCTGTGACTGGAGGCCCACCTACTGGGCAGGGGAGACAATCTCTGAGGCTGATCGATAATCACTTCGTTTTCGGAAAGGGCAGAGACCGGACGGGACTCCAGCAGAGCCTCCTCCAGCATTAAGCTCCCATTGCGTATTCTAGGAGGAACCTCAATGCTCACGGAGGTCTCGTCCAGATGGGGGGGCATAGGGGTGCTTCTAGGGGTGGACATGGCCGGTGTGGGAGGAGCATCACTGAAGACGCTGTCACTCTGCAGTTGGCAAGGGAAACAGAATTAACTGTTGTTCCAGTGAGACTTGTCTGTAGTTTTATAATACATAAGGAAACATTTAAATTACAGTTGTAACTAATACAGTTGTAATACACTTTCTTTTAAGTGTCCTTATTATAGTATAGTTATACAATTAAGCACTGAATAATATTAAAGGGGCACTTGGCAACTCTAGTCCTTTCTTCGCTGATTTTCACTTTTGTTGTGGCATGTTTTTCCACACTGCCCTACAAAGGCAAAGAGCGCAGTAACAACACATTTGGTCAAAAATGGGTTAAGACTTGTAATGGGCTTTATGACGTGTTCTGTCTTGTGAAAAAATATCTGGGTTAAACTATGCCCCGTTTTGGAGATGCATTACCACATAATCTACCCATAACATGTTTGACTGGCTGGTATGAAAACTTTAAAGGCCTTTTTCTCTGTTTCTTTGTTTGCGTAGTTACTGCACTTAGCCTTTGTAGGGTGGTACAGCTGTGCGGCGTATATTTCTACAACACTGTCATAAAAAAACTCACTTGCATCTTCCTCCCGCTTTATACCGCTGCTTATGTGCATTTGTTATTATCGAAGCCGGCCAACTTTATCGTGTGGAGCTATGTCTACCGAGTGGGTAATACATGACAAGTATCATAGAATTATGTCAAATTGCCATAAAGCAGTCAGTGTTTTTCGATCGTTCTCGTTTCTCACGAGACTTCTATCTCCAATTTACCGGGACGTTAGTCCCCATGTTGCAAAGTTGGTTTTTCGCCTGGAAACGCTGGGGGGAGCGGGGAAAGTCACTAATCTCTCCAAAACAGGTTATTGAACCATTCAAATTATTTCTAAACGGTATTATTAAGTTGAAACAGTTGCCAAGTGCCCCTTTAATTAACAAATTGTACTTACTATAGAGTTTAGATTAGCGTTTGGTTTAGGGTTAGAATTATGCATAATGTTCTGTTATTACTATAGCAAGTACATCCATCTATCATTTTTTTTCTTATATTTACAATTTAAAGTGCCCCATAATGCTTTTTTTATATTAACTTTCACATAGTGTGTCATATAGCTGTTTGTGAATGTAAAGGTCTGCAAAGTTTCAAAGATCAAAGTGCATAATAAATGGAGTTATTGTCCTCCAAAAGAAGGAACGATTCTTAACTGCCTGAAATGAGTCGTCAGTAATTCCAGTCTTACTTGCTCTGTGAACCTATGTAGGATTGTAACACATTTGCATAATGTTCTTAATTGGTTGTCCACGAACAACATCTACTTTGAGCCACCTTTAGTTGTAGCTTTTCGTTCATGTTGTCGACATGTGGAGAAGACACTGTTTTCTGTGCTTCTCAAAAGCAAACCCACTTAGCATGCACTTCCAAAAGATGAGGACTCTGGCTTGATTGATACAGTAAAACCGATGGGTTACTGCTATGTAAACTGACAAAGTTCTTTGAACTTTGATGCATGTAATCCTACTGTGGGAGACTTTAAAATGGCATAATAGGGGCACTTTTGGTTAAGGTATTAACAGCATATGGCATGCTGTCGGTTAGTTTAAATCACTCTCATTTTACTATTCCCACTGGATATTTTTTTTACTGCTGAGTGTTCTCACCCTGAAGAAATCTTCTTCTTCAATCATCTCCCCCTCCAGCCCTTCCAGCCCTTCCTCATCCTCCATTGCCATAGCCAGACGCATCTCTGGGGCCAGATCCTGTAGTGTGCGTAACCCAGCCTGGACCACACAAGATGAGAGTCATGTCAAAGTCAAAGACAGGCTGTAATCCAGTGATGCTGCACTAGGGTTGCACAGAATAACAGTGCAAAAAGTATGTAGAATGAGACTATGGATCTCATACTCAAGGAGAGAAAAAGTGAGCAAAAATATGCAATTTGCATCCATTTATATGGCAAAAAAGTAAAATGAAATTCCAATAGTTTGTGGTGTAAATCAATGTGATCCTTTATAAGCGTATACTGAAAAATTGAAAATTAAAAGTTAAAGGATTAGTTCACCCAAAAATGAAAATTAAGTCATTAATTACTCACCCCCATGCTGTACCAACCCCGTAAGACCTTCGTTCGTCTTCGGAACACAAATGAAGATATTTTTGATTAAATTTGAGAGCTGTATAACTACCACATTGGCTGCCTAAGGGACTGCCTCTTGACGGCCCAGAAAGTCAATGAAGAAAATGTTTAAATATCCCAAGTGACTACCGTGGCTCAACTATATGTTTATCAAGCGACGCGAATACTTTTTGTGTGAAAAAACAAATAAAAATAACGAGTTTATTCGACTATTTCTTTTCTTCCTTGTAGGCCAGAAACGAGACTTCCTTAGATTTCCACGACGCATGCGCGAGAATTGCGATCTGAAGTAGTCTAAGCAGATCGCGATTCTCGCGCATGCGTCGTGGAAATCTAAGGAAGTCTCGTTTCTGGCCTACAAGGAAGAAAAGAAATAGTCAAATAAACTCGTTATTTTTGTTTGTTTTTTCGCACAAAAAGTATTCGCGTTGCTTGATAAACATATAGTTGAGCCACGGTAGTCACTTGGGATATTTAAACATTTTCTTCATTGACTCTCTGGGCCGTCAAGAGGCAGTCCCTTAGGCAGCCAATGTGGTAGTTATACAGCTCTCAAATTTAATCAAAAATATCTTCATTTGTGTTCCGAAGACGAACGAAGGTCTTACGGGGTTGGTACAGCATGGGGGTGAGTAATTAATGACTTAATTTTCATTTTTGGGTGAACTAACCCTTTAATAAAAGACAACACACACACAAATCTGTCATTATGTCATAATTCATTACCTGGAGAGAGGCTGACTTATCTTTGCCTTTCTTCTTCCTCTCTTTCTCTTTTCGCTTACGAAACTTTTTAAAGTAGTCCTGAATCAGGAAGCTGGCATAGAACTTTCCTGCAGTCACCTCATTCCCTAAAAACGTAGAGAGATGGATTTTTAAAAAGACAAAAAGAAGAGGTAACTTTTTTGAGTGGGAAGGGAAGGACTTGTTGGGCATTTATTGAGGCATTTCTGATTCAACACAGTGTTAACGCTAAGCCTCGGAGAACCTTGCATGCCCTTCAATGGTAAGAGAAAAACTGTCAGATTTAGTCAAAGTGGATTTAGTCAAAGTGGATTTACCAATGAGGAGAACCTCGGTTTTGTCACTGTTAAGTTTGAGGAAGTTACAAGAGAACCACGATTTGATTTCCATTAGGCAATCAGAGAGGGAGGTGGGTGGGAGAGATCCAGTAGGTTTGGTGGACAGGTACTGTAAGAGCTGGGTGTCATCCGCATAGCAGTGGAAATGTTAAAGTCACGGAAGATATGGCCAAGAGGAAGCAGACAGATGATGAACAGAATGCGCCCCAGGACAGAGCTCTGGGGAACACCAGTAGTGACAGGGGTTAGCTCAGATTTGAAATGTTTGAGCTGGATGAACTGAGTGCGGCCAGAGAGATATGATTTAAACCAGTCCAAGAATGAGTCAGTGAAACCAACAGAGACTAATCTGTCAATAAGGATATTATGAGAAATGGTGTCAAAGGCTGCACTTAGATCAAGGAGGATAAGAATAGTTAGCAGCAGTCCCGAATCAGCTGCCACAAGAAGATCATTGGTGATTTTTACCCGAGCTGTTACTGTGCTATGGCAGGGATGGAAACCAGATTGAAATTGTTGGATTGAATTGGACCTCGAGATGCAACTGTCTTTTCAAGGATTTTAGAAAGAGAAAGAAAGAAAGAAAGAAAGAAAGGTAGGTTAGATATAGGGTGGAGGTTATTGAAATTGTTGGGGTCTGCACCAGGCTTCTTAAGTATAGGAGTTATTGCAGCTGATTTTAGAACAAAACCAGAGGTGAGAGAGGAATGGATAATGGTAGTTATTTGTGAAGAGAGAGAGAGTGAGCAGGCTTTTACTAAGGTGGTAGGAAGAGGGTCTAGCTCAGGGGTTCTCAACTCCAGTTCTAGCGACCCACTGCTCTGCATTTTGTGTATGTCTTCCTTATTTAACACACCTGATTCAGATCCTCAGCTCGTTAGGATAGACTCTATAGCCGTTTCTCAATATGCGTCCTTGTTTGTACTTGTGTTCTTGTGGACTTGTGAAACGTCATCAGTCGCGGCCCAAGTACTGTTCCAATTCAAAGTTCACATCTAGCCAAGTCCACTTCAAATCCCCGGATGTGTTCTTGATCCGCCCCGTTTACCGAGGATGCATCGAGAGGTGACTTGTGTGGACTTGAGATAGCCAGGTAACCCAGAATGCACCTCGCACCAACCAGCAAGCGTCAATGGGAGAGGAGAAAATCAGCGAAATATCAAAATACTACTGTTATTGAGTCATGAAATGTAATTTTAAGAGTGTTTCAGGCAAGAATGTGGTTGTTTAAATCTCAAATCTGTAGTTTATTTATAAAGATAGCGCCTATCTGAAAAATACATCTGACGTTTTCGGAGTTCTGACATCCAAGCCTTCAGCGGACACTCGGCGAGATCAACCCCGACTGGAACAGCTTATCCTCGGCTAGTGCTTCTGACGTTTGCCGCCGGCTCTGATCTCTTTAGTCTAGTGGATAAACCTTGACGTATAATAACTCGTCTTGTGTATAAGTCTATCTTTGGTCTCATTGAACTATAGTTTGTTCCATGGCAAAAAAATAAAATAAAAAATAGTTTTTGAGGTTTCATAACTTTATGTCTATTTAACTTTAACATTTTTTTTATATTATCTTCACTATATGAGCAATAAAATAAAATGACATAACCCTGTCTCTGTTTGATAAATGTCAATAAAAATCAATGTTTCATATTTTTAAAATGAAATCAAAAAGATCATGTTCATTTTGTTATAAATATGCAGTGAAGAGAATCGCGTTGCCTGAACCACATGGCCATTAGGCTAATATTTAGTTTTTTTGTTAATGAAAAGAGGCAGAGTGGTGTTTTATAACATATTTCGTTTTATTGTTGACGAAAAATGCAGAGTTGTAGCAAATTTTGTTTTATTGTTGCCTAAAATATAGGCTAAATAAAGAGATAACCGGAGTAGAGCGTGCTGCTGAGTGACGCGATCAAGTACGCTCTGTTCCATTTGCAGAAGAACCAGACTTGCGTCCTCTCGTCCTCGGGAGTTCGTTCTCCGGAGTCGAACTTGGCAAGTCTGAACTACCAAGGACGCAAGTCCGAAGTCTGCGAACTTGGTATTGATAAACGGCTTATGGCTATCCTAACGAGCTGAGGATCTGAATCAGGTGTGTTAAATAAGGGAGACATACACAATATGCAGAGCAGTGGGTCGCGAGGACTGGAGTTGAGAACCCCTGGTCTAGCTGACAAGTAGTTGGTTTCGAATTTCTAATAATGTCCAATATTTCAGCAACAGAGGGAAGTGAGAAACTTGAAAATGAACAAGAAAAAGGTGTCAGGAGAACTGAAGGAGACAAACTGTGACAGGTATTACTAGTCAGTTGCTGGTAAATCTTGTGTACTTTGGAATTGAAAAATGACATTAAGGAGATGTTACAGTAAGCAGATGAATACAGATGAGGCGCAAGAGAGTCTGGTGGATGTGATATGTTGTTGACCACAGAGAACAGGGTTTCAGAAAGCCAAGCACAGAAAGCCAATTAGAAGATATTATTGTAACATACTCTACCTGCAGGTGGAGGTATAACTTCATCTAGCAGTTTGGGTTTGGTACGTTTCCAGATCTTCTTGATGATAGCTCTCAGCTCCTCGTTCTGCTGGTCAATGGGTCCTGTGTTAAATGGAAAGGTATTGTATTACTGTATTTAGGATAGACAAAAATGTTTAATTTTTGCTGTAGTTTTTGTCTAAAAGCACATAACATATTATTTAAATCTATAAGCATCAGACATTTTCCTCACTTGTACATCAGAATTGACACGTGTATTAATAGTATGTTAGTGAGTTTGTGTGTGTGTGTGTGTGTGTGCAGGAGACCAACCATCTGTTTTAATCTTAAGTGAAGTTCTGACGAGAGCAAACAGGGTGGCGTTGAAGGACACAGTACCATCAGGATAGAGAGGCACATTCATAGCAACCAGTCTCTGCCAAAGAGAAAGAGAGAGATGGGCAGAGAGAAACAGAAGGGTTTAGATATGAATGGTTGCCAGGACACTACTGCATGTTGAAATGGGCCTGCTAGTGTGTTCTGGCTGGTTGCGTGATGGACCTCACAAGTCTCTGGTATTTTGGTCTCTACATACACCACCTCTATATACACCAATGTGGATGCATTGTATTAATCAAAAGTGATAGTAATGACTTTTATATTACAAAAGATTTCTTTTTCAAATAAATGCAGTTCAGTATGATTTCTGAAGGATCATGTGACACTGGAGACAAGAGACTTCGGATCCTCCTAAAATACAAGTCTACAGGACTTTTCACTCATTTCATTGTCCACCAGGGACTGTATAAATCAAAATGTCCTTACCCTACATGCTACTCGATGTGGACAGAGTTTCCCAAAGCCCAGCGGAGGCTGAATTCTGCGCAACATGGTGACTACATCTAGATGTTTAATCCTTCCCCTGATGCAAAGAAATGCAACAGTATTTATTAATTTACATTACATTACATTTAAGACTGGGATTTAATAATGCGCTCATAAAAAAGACATCAAGTTTGTGTGAATTCACTTACGTGGCTTCTGGGTCGTAATCTGACCAGACTCGTTTAAACTCATCGAGGTGATGAGTGCCCAGCACAGTCCAGTCTCTAGTCAGATACTCAAAGTTATCCATGATGACAGCGATGAACAAGTTAATGATCTGAGAAAATGCAGATTAATCACTAACCAAATTTGTTTATTATTTTTAGAGAAAATTTGAAAGTTATACATTTCCCCCACGAAAATGTATGTTCGCTCAAAACTTTTGCATTCTCTCTCAAAACTATTGCATTCCCTGAAAAACTTTGCATTTGCTAGCAAAAAACATTGAACAAACTTCGAAAAGCAACTTAATATTATTTCAAACACTAGGTTTTCCATTTTCCATCAACACAACTTTGGCAAGAGAGTGGAAAACTTTTGTGATATTTGAAATCAAAAACCAAAAAGCACAAACAGATAATGCAAGGGGGGATGTTTCTTTATTAAAGCTGAAGCTAATAATCATAAAAAATAAAGTGAAGATGACGAATGGATGACAATTAAGAACAAATCAGCTGCAGACAAACTATGACACTCAAAACTGTCCTTTTACTATAGCAAACATTATAACAACAATCTCTCTTTCAGCAGTCTTTCTTGAAATCTCCCTCTTGTTCACTCTCTCTCCTCCCCCATCACGAGTGTATACACCCCCTACAGCTGATTGGCTACAAGTTTGTTGTGGTGCTCAGTCCAATCAACTTTCAACAGCGTTTCTCAAAAATCGCTTATTGCACCTTAAAGGAGAACTCTGGCGCAAAATGAACCTTTGGTCTAATTACACATTGTTACCTCCGTTATCTGAGATTTATACCATGGTCTAGGTGAATACTCGATTCTGTTTGGCTGCAGGGTGTCCGTTAAAAAGTGATAGAGGACACCTAGTAAAGCAGTTCTGGTGAAACTGCCTGTTTACCATTCGAAATTAATAAATAAATGCGCTGCCTACAACAGCTGTGAGTAACCATAGCAACAGGCAGTCAAAGTATCCGTTAACAATTTGCTCTATCAAAACAAACATCTAACGTTAGTTAGATATTCCATAGCCTACTAATACAACAATGAGCGACTTCGTTATTTCTTTTAACATTTATGGAGAATATGACAACTTTGACGACTGGGATGCTGCTGAAGAAAGAAAAAATGTAAATAAAACGGAGAAACGTCACAAAGCGCTGCTGCTCTGAATGAGACCCTGCGGGAGTTTTACGCAGCTGTCCAGACAACCAAGGCAGGAGGAGAGTACAGCGTTTCAAGCCGCCTGTTTGATTAATTGTTTTATGTGTAATAAAAAAATAACTATGCCTACCTTTGTGTTTCATGAAAAAAAAAATGCATTTTTGAACCTGAAGGGTTCTACAAGCTGTGCGGACTATAAATGTCTCCGGTTGCTAAATAAACCAGGCAAGTTATTATTTGTAAAAACTAGATTTAGCCTAATTAAAATATAAACTAGCAGCTAATGTTTTAAAAACGTTTTATTTGGCAAGTGACCATGGTATAAGCGGGTTAATGCCCTCCGAGGTGTCCATTGTCAGGTTTTAATGGACTTCGGCGGAGGCAACCGTCCTTCGCTGCGTGTCGGCCGGTTCACGCCTCGCCGTCGTCCATTAAAACCTGACAATGGACACCTCATCGGGCATTAACCCTTACTTGTTTTCATGATTGCCGAATGTAAAGAGTTTTACCAAAAACAGTAAAAACAGTTTAGCCTATAACGCTAGAATAACGCTAGTATATGGGGCATAGAGTAACGACAAATAAAAATCGCTTGTTATTACCACTAACAAGGCTCAAAATAGCCCCACACTAACACGACAGCATAATAAGGGTCCCTACATTCAAACCCGAAGCATTGAGAACTTTGTCAGTGTCCATACAGTTTAATAAGAAGATATTTTACACAGTACATACAGTCAACTTCGTGAATACAGGAAGAAGCCATCTTTGAAAAATAGTCTCTACCAGTCGATCTACGAACGCCAATCCAAGTGCGCTGGTGAGATGATAAGGTGAATAAGGTGATAAGGTGAGCACAAACAGTAGGCTACGTGTACATATTGAAGAGAAGACAATGGTTCGTGTTTGTGTTTCTTCCGGAAACAAAGGACCATATGAGATTCTGCACAGTTCAGCGCACTTGGATCGGCATTCTTAGATCGACTGGTTCGGCTTTGGCCACGACTCTGGATGATTTAAAGTTAAGCTTTTCTTTGAAACATGAACAAAGAACGGCACTTGAATCTTTTTTAATCGCTCTGATCACGTCACCTTCTTCATTGCTCTGGTTGGTTGTAGCGCTATCCTATTGCATGCAGAGGGAATTTGAAAGACAACGGTTTATCCCACCCCTCGTATGGAACAAACTTCGAAAAGCAACTTCATATCATTTCAAACACTAGGTTTTCCATTTTCCATCAACACAACTTGGTGAGTTCAACAACATAATGGTGAGTTGCCAGACCTAACATCCCAATGTAGGTCTGGCATGCCAGGCTACCTTAAAAGGAACAATATGTAGGATTTTTCGCCACCAGGGTCGCTAACCTCTCACATTAACAAAGGCATATATTAATGATGCAAAGCATTAAGTTAAGTGGAATTATAATGGATTTTGTCGTCAAGCTGATGGATCTTTCATGGATGAGTGAATAAATTGAATACAATGATTTTAAAATGACTGTGCTATGAAGCAGGGCGCGATTGCTAATGAGAGATGTATACCAGTGCCACACGCAAAGTGAGTCCCGTGGATATAAATGAATAAGGACATTTAATTCTCCTGAAATACATGCAAGTGCTGAATTATTCACACAGGTGAGTTTATTAATGGATTAATTAAATTAAATTCACTTGCTCTAACAGTTACACTATCACACTAAACGGCATTTGAGTGTGTTGAATGTTGTTGGTTAGGTTGTTTGTTGGCTGTATGAGACTAGCATTAAGCTAGATCAACATTAGAATAACATAAAGATCATATTCTAACATTGCATCATGTTTAACTAAATAACATTGATTTGTTTTATGTACATTTGATTTGCTCACCTGTCTAATAGAGTACATGCAACACTCACGTCTCTGTAAAATCGAAGTTAGTCGTGGACGTGGGCTCTCGGCATCTCAAAAGATGTTGATTTCCGTCCTCTTTTTGTCTCAAAGTCTGCTTGCGATGGTCAAAAATGTTTGAAAACAATAACAACGTGAGCGTACCCTTGGGCATAACCCAGTTGTCCACGTCTGGCGCCATGTTTATTATGGCAGTAAGAGCGGAAACCAAGGGTAACACGGATATGACACCATTGACACGTCCCGTTTCCTTGGTTAAAATCGGAATTTTATCACGATTTACAAATAGTTGGAAACATTTGGGATATTGTAAGTAATCAACTAAACAAAGTATATATAACATTCGCCTACTGGTTTTTGTATATTTTACTGCAAAACTCCTACATAATGTACCTTAAAGTCAATACGTTTGCGAGTTAACACAAAAAGTCTGCAAGAGAATGCAAAATGTATGCAAGTTTACGCAAAACTTTTGAGAATGTTAACACAAAACTTTTGCAGGACGGTGCAAAACTTTTGTATGAAAAATCAAACGTTTTGGGAGCAAAATGCAGTGTTTCTGGGTGGGAATGCAGAACTTTTGGTAGACAATGTTGTAGTGGATGTTTTATTCCTCACCAGGAAGGCACAGAGTGCAAAGAAACTGATGAAATAGAGGTATGCCAGGTTGCTTCCACAGCTGTACTCCTCCCCTGGCTCAAAGTCAGACTCTGGGTCACACCGACGTCCTGGCAGTGCCGCAAGCATGATCTCCTGCCACTGTTCACCCGTTGCACATCTGGGTTTGAAGAAATGCAACAAACCATTTCGTGAAACCATTTACTAACCAGTTAAAAAAGCAGATCATTATCCAAACTCAAGTCAAAAATCAACCTAGGACTACTGTACTCTTACCTGAAAAGCAGAAGTACAGCCATGAAAAAGGTTTGGAAATTGTTGTTCCGACTGAGTTCAGTATCGTCGTCAATAGCTATCTTCCCAAATGACTGGAACCACAACAAACAGTTTAAACTTCCCAATCTGGAATGTTTCTCAAATGAGGGGAGGGACAGAAACATATACAAACGTATAAAGATGAACCCACCTGCATTCCAATCACACCATAGATGAAAAAGATCATAGCAATGAGTAGGCCGACGTATGGCAGTGCCTGAAGGTAAGCAGAGAGACATGTAGAAATTATGCAAAAAAGATAATTGAGAATGAGAGAGTCTAGTGATCTTGTTACTTTCCTAAATTTCTCACCTGTAGAGATTTAAGGAAGGTCCAAAGGAGGGTTCGAATGCCTTCACCCTTACTGAGCAGCTTGACTAGTCGCATAACTCGGAAAAGACGGAAGAAAGTGATGGATACTTTGGCGCTCTCCCCATCTTTCCCCTTTTAAAGTGGGAAAATAGAATGACATACCAAATATTAATCTATCATAAACAAAATACTAGTTAACAGAGGTCCTTGATCATGCCAGTGGCACATTTCAAAGTGAATTGTTTTGTAAAGCAATCCAAATATAATGCAGGTTTTGCTAAGAGACAGGCAGGGAAAACTACATTAGACCTGACAGCAAACAGCCAGTTTAAGAATAAAGGTCAGAAAAAGTGGAAAACTGGGAAATGGTCAAGACAAAATTGATTCCAAAGAAAATCAAATGACTCAACTAAATTAAACATGTCCTTTAAAGATCATAAAAGCTCAAAAACTCAACACTAATAAAAGTCATAAAAGCCTAATAAAAAAAAAATAATGAACTACAAAAATATACAAAACCAATTTAATTTTGATATTGACATGCTGTAATACAATGTTAAATATAAATACTATAGTGCAGTTCTATTGGTTGCATTTACAAAATAAGTGCGCATAAACAACAACACTGTCTTATTTATCAGCGGGAAAGTCACATTTTCACTCATTTTCAGTTGTGGGTGTATTAATTGAAAATTATGGAAGCAAATTCTAATGGATGACAATTAATGTTTAATTGCACAATTAATGTTTGAATGTACAATTTATTTAAATATTTTGTCTACTACTAAAAGACAATAGACAAGCTTGCAAAATATGAATACTTATTTAGCTGATTTATAAGGTTATTAAACTGCATTTCCTTTCATTCTTCATTCTGTGGCATATTCTTACCTCACCATGGCCTCCTCCACCCTGAGGCAGTAACAGGATGTTCCAAAAGCACACAATGGAGCAGGAAACAGAAGATATGTGACATGATAGAAATTGATAAGTGAGTGTGTGTCTAAGATAACAAATTCTATAGTACTTTAATCATTGTCACTCCAAAAAAATCACAAGCATGGGAATCCCTCATAGTTCAGATATAAATTAAAAATAATACATACACTGAACTCTGCAATCATGATGTCCACCAAACTGCCCACCACTATCAGTGCATCAAAAGAGTTCCAGGCATCTATAAAATAATGCTGTGTAATCCACAACAAAGAGAGCAAGAGGGAGAGAGATGAAAAAGCACAAATGTGAAGGCACTAACAGTGTTTTCAAACCATTGGAGCAAAATGTAAAGTGAAGTGATTGAGGAAAGAAAGTGTCCAGCAAGTCTCACATAAGGTCTCAGAGCCAGAAGTTTGACGATCATCTCAATAGTAAACAGCAAAGTGAAGATCATGTTCAGGATGTCCATCACAGAGTTGAAGAGTTTGGACTGCTCATAGTGCTGTGGGGTCACAGTGGCGTAATCTCATTAGTGGACTAGACTACACATGATTGGCTGCGTTTTTATGCAGAACCTCTCCAAAGTAGCTGATATGAGATATATTGTAGGATTAATTTGTTTTTCCAATTCTGATAATAAAAATATATAGCATTTCAACTTGAAACATGTGTTGGCAGGTGTGACCTAATTGTTAGAGAGCCGGACTAGTAACCCCTCTCTAACCATTAGGCCACAACAGCCAACACATGTGATGTGTTGACTAACATACTAAAGTGCATGTAAAGTTCTTGATTATACTTTTAACTGCATTGTCCTATTTAATATTACATTTAAATATGCTAGATTGCGGAACCAGTTGCGGGTTTGAGTCTCAATACTGGCAGGAAATGTAATAATAAAGGTCTGAAATGACTGCCCTTGAGCAAGGCAGAGGCGAACATATCTATCTGTGTGGCCCCAAAGTGGTCCCAAATCAGCTGGACTGCCTGAAGATTAAGGGTGCTTTCACACCTGCCTCATTTAGTTCGGTTGAATCGCACTAGAGTGCGTTTTCCCCCTTGGTGCGGTTCGTTTGGGCAGGTGTGAAGGCAGCAATCGCACTCACACCAAAAGCGGACCAAACAACCTCTTCGAGGAGGTCTCAGTACGCTTTCAAACGAACTCTGGAGCAGTTAGTTTGTGGTGAGAACGTGATCCGACCTCGAACAGACCCAACTGCCAAATAACTGCACATTTTTGGACTAAACCAGCTGCCGTAGTAAAACAAAATGATTATTTATGTAGCCAATAGCGCTCCCTTTAAGCCATGGCTGACTTACCGCGTTCTGCGCTCTCACTAAAACTCTCATCATAAAAACTGAAGTTGTCCGCACTGCACAGTGAATCTCTTATTTATATCGTGTCTATACTTTGTTGTTTATGAGGGGAATTGCGAAAGGATAAAGCTTGTGCTTATTCTGAACATACATTGTGAGTGAATGTCACCTGGATTTTTCTCCTCTTTGTTTACTTCCAGGAATTCTATTGGAATTTTCACGCACATCAATTCTGAACAATCGAAGTGCAGTTATAGAAATATGTTCAAGACATATCTGGCCAACGAGTAATGTGGATGTTGTCACGTGACTACATTTTGGTTTGTTTCATCAACTCATCAACTGATTCGGACCAGAGCAATCAGTGTGGTGTGAAAACGAACCAAAACCCCTGAAAAAAATGCTACAAAGTATAATTTTTTCGCCCTTGGTCCGGACCAAATAAACCAAACTACAGATGTGAAAGCAAATCTGTAGGCAAATCCTAAGTCACCACTCTCCCAGGGCCACAGGCTATTGTGAGAGCTAGTCAGCTGCACAATTGAGCAGGCTGAGGAAAAAAATGGCACGAAGCAACCTCAGATGCTTCTGACACAAAAGGAGGAGATGGCGGGTGAGTTGTGACATGAAACGGGAGCGTAGACCTGTACATCCTTGCTGAGCAGCGGCGTCTTGAGGCATCTCAGAACAAGGTGTACTGCTAGCAACTCGAGGCAGTTGATGTGCCAATGCAGTTGCTACTGCATGCCTGTTGTACGTCAAGTCAAGTCAAGTCACATTTATTTATATAGCGCTTTTCACAATACAGATTGTATCAAAGCAGCTTCACACTGATAACATGAAAGTAGCACAACACAGATCAACAACATTGCTAAACACTAAATAACCCCAACTGAGCAAGCTCAAAGCAAGCCAAAAGCAAGGCGACAGTGGCAAGGAACCAAACTCCATCAGATTGGATGGAGAAAAAACCTTGGGAGAACCCAGGCTCAGTCGGGGGCCAGTTCTCCTCTGGCTTACATTCATATTGTTTAAATATAAATATTAAATATAAATATTGTTTATGAATCAAACGGCGCCATAACATATCGCAGGCGTTGAGTCGTCTCTTCACAGGCGTTGAGTCGTCTCATCACAGGCGTTGGGGCATCCGAAATCCCCGTGAGAGGCTGGACACAAAACTGGACCTGACGAACGCCATTTTTCTCGGGACAAGCGTCCCGAGATAACAGCAGAAAGGCAGATGGGAAATAATTAGCATAGCTGATGTTCATAATGATTTCCGTTATAACTCACAAACTCTCCGTAACCTGAACTCTCCGCAACCCAACCATACGCGCTGACCCGTTTGTCTAAAAGGCTGTCGAGCCCCACTGGTGCGTTAAGCAGTTTCAGTGGCAAACGGTTCCGTATGGCATAACAGAGGACTAGAAGGTAAGCATTACGTGGCCCCCCAGATGGTGTTGGAGGCATCTGTGGAGACTACAGCATACCTGGGCACTTGTTCTAGGGGCACTCTGGCCCGGAGAAATGAAGGGTCTGACCACGAGCTAAAGGTTTGGCGACAGGCCAGGGGGATTGTCACATGGAGCGTGCTGCTCTGCCATGCTCCTCTCGGGCCTTGGCCATGAAGGCAGTCTCATACTGTATAAAGCAATCCGAGCGGCGTTAATGCGGCTGCGGATGCCATATGCCCCAGAAGCCTCTGAGAAAGTTTCAGTGGGACTTCTGTTCTGCTCTCGACAGTATTCAAGCAATTCAGCCCCGGCCGGACACGATCCTCTGAGAGGGGTGCCGTCTGGTGGACTGAGTCCAGCTCCATACCAAGAAAAGAGATCCTCTGCTTGTTTGCTATTTTTCCAGTTGACCCGAAGACCCAATTGACTGATATGCTGGAGCAGCATCTGCCACCGGTGGATGAGTGGAGGCAGCAGCGGGCCACGGGGGCAGGACGTGACGGATTGCCTTCGCCTGCTTCTAGGCGGCGGAGAGCTGTTGGGTGAAATTCTCCACCGTGTCTCCGAAGAGCCCAACCTGGGAAATGGTTGAGTCCAGGAACTGAGACTTTTCGTTCTCCCTCATATCAGCCAGGTTGAGCCAGAGATGGAGCTCCTGGAACACTAAAGTGGACATCGCCAGACCAACCGTGAGAGCCACAATCTTCGTGCCCAGGAGGGCGAGGTCAGTTGCGGTACAGAGAGCTCACAGTTTGGACCACCTCGTGCATGTCCATGAGTGCTTTGGCTTGATGGACCTGCAGCAAACACCATGGCATGCAGGTAAGAAGCGGCTTGCCCACAGGCTTTGTAAGCTATACCCGTGAGAACGGACGAGAACTTACAAGCCCGAGAGGGAAGACGAGGATCACCCTTTCAAGAGGTAGCGGTTGCCTGACGCATCGTGACAGACCACTCCACTGCCGTTCCTCCGTCAAGAGTAGTGAGGGTAGAGGAGGTACTAAGGCAGTTTCTGGCAAAGAAAGGAGATGTCCACGACCTAGTAACCACCTCATGCACCTCGGGAAAGAATGGAACCGGGCGGCATGCTGAGTGGTGCGTGCATCCGCTTTCATACTTATACCTACGCTGCGGGGCGGAGCACGAGACACCAATGTGCATTGGCTTGTTTTTTCAATACTCAAAAATAACAGACTCCCTAAGCGTGATCCCAATCTGGGGTGCGTTTCCCGAAAGCATCGTTAGCCAACTATGGTCGCAAGTATCGTCGTTATCAGCATAGTTCAATGATTCGGTGTTTCCCGAAACCATCGTTCCAACGAACATTCGCAAACAGCATCGCAAAGTTGGGTGGTTTGAACGACAGCTCTCGACCTGTGGTTAGAAGCATCGTTTCTATATTGCAACACATTTGGAGGTAATAAATCATTATCTCGAGCATAATGAGCAAGCTGACATTCAGTACAACCAGTGTCTTTTATTTATAATACTTACAAATGGAATTTACGTCTTTTAGTTTGTCAAGAGATTTGAAGTAACGTGTTTGAAAAGTGCGCATGTGCGAACGCGCTCCACTATGTAAGATCGAGCCAAATATTGAGTCTGGTAATAAAGCAAAACAACTGAGAACAATTAGAAGTAGTCCTCAGATGACATGTCTGTAATTTTTATAAAACAAATCTAGCGTTAATTGGAAACAGTTTCATTAAAAGCAGTTATTACTCCACCACGTGCGAAACCAACGTGGTTGAACGATACTTTGCGACAGTGGGTTTCGGGAAACAGTCGTGACTAGCTAGTTGATTTTTCCAACGATGCATCGTACTATGGTAGTGAAGCAGTGAACTACGTCGTTGTATGGGAAACGCACCCCAGTATAGTACGTCTGACTACATCAAATGTGATCGAACTGAAAAGGTCATGAAAACAGTCATGAAACTAGTGTACTCTCTTTAAGTACAATTAACTGGCCTTTAATTTCATGAATTTAATATTATCTGCAAGTGAAGTTTTTAAAGTATAATTTCAAGATTGAAATGTATTGTATACAATACAATTAGCACACTCCTTAATGTATTGTATACAATCCAATTAGCACACTTCTTATTAACAAGGGATATTTACAATACAAAAAGCTGTATATAAAAAAAACAATGAACATCTATTGAATACATCTATTTTGATAGATAAGTAAACGTGTGTGTGTGTGTGTGTGTGTGTGTGTGTGTTTGTACCTGTACAGCCAGTGCGAGCGTGTTGAGCAGAATGAGCACAAACATAATGTACTCAAACTGAGAGGAATTGATGATCTTCCAAAATTTGAGTTGAGAAGGGTTTTTGGGTATGTAAATCTTTATTGGCTGAGCTTTCAATGCGTAATACACACATTGTCGCTGTGAGCAAAAGAGACATACCATGAGAGAATCCATTAGACAAAAAGAACAACACTAGGAAGACAAAACAATAATATAACTAAAACTAACTAATATAAAAGAGAATTTTAACTTAGCATCAACTAATTAACATACAATAAGATGGTCTTGAATCCAGACTTACCTGATTTTTGTTTAGTTCGCAGTTTTTGAACTCAGCCTCTCCTTGTTCACGGAAGGTAATGATGACAAAACCCACAAAGATGTTCATCATGAAGAAGGCGATAATGATGATGTAGATGACGAAGAAGAAGGAAATCTCCACACGGTAGTTATAGATGGGTCCTCTGTTCTCTGCATTAGCATCGATGGCTTTGTACAACAACCTGCGAAATACCAAAATATTAAATAATTAAATTTGGATGATTAAAAATCATTGCTGTTATGTTAAACGTTTTCCTCACTGTGGCCAGCCTTCAAACGTAGAGACGGTGAATAGTGCAAGCATGCCCATCAGCACATTGTCGAAGTTAAAGTCGCTGTTCTCCCAAACTCTCTCCCTCACCATTGGGTGGTTCATATCACCATCTTTGAACACCACAAAAGTGCCCCTGAAAGAAATCCCACACACATGTCTCAGAAAACTACCCAGTGAGTCATTGTAAAACAACTATGGCTAAACAACATACTTGCACTCTTCAGGTGTGTGTTTTGCCTCATCAGTGCATCTGTAGAACCGGCCCTACAAGAGGTATTACATTAATGTTAACCAAAGTGAATACTGATTTGACTATTGAACATAAGGCTGCTGATTAACATTAACAAGTAGGCTGTACATAATGTCAACCTAAAAGGAAACGAGGAGACCTAAAAGGGTACAGGAACGAACCAAATTATTACATTTTAATAAAAGACAAACTGACTGAAACTCTTTTCTAAGGAACTAATCAATCATGCAAAATAACACCAGGAATGTGCATTAAGAAGGTAATAAATGTCCATTTTAATTCTATGTTGGGTTTAAGTACCTTGAAAAGCTGCACACCAATACAAGCGAACATAAACTGGAGGAGAGTGGTGACAATGAGGATGTTGCCAATAGTACGGATGGCCACGAACACACACTGAATCACGCTCTGAAGGCAAATGGACAACAATAATTAAAAATTATGAATTAACATAACTGGAAATAATAATAAACATCATGGCATTTAGGTCTGCATGATCTTGAAAAAAACTTACATTTTTGATATATATATATCTGCAATACTGCAAGAATTTTCACCAAATGACTTGAATAGCTCTATTTGGAATTAATTAATTAATTATTCTAGATTGAGTATAGGCAATTTTGTTGGGAAGTAAAAATAATTTATTTAAAATAAAATAATAAAAAGTGGGGAAATGACTTTTACTCATTTTTTAGATTGTAAACTCTCCATGGTTGCGTTTCCCAAAAGCATTTATAAGCATAAATAAAAAACGCTTCAGAGCGCCGGCGCACGGACTGAAGGTTAAGAGGTTCTTAAGCAACTACCGGTATGGTTTCGTCGTTTGTAACTTTCGTCGTTATCAGCATAGTTCAACAAGTCGCTTTTTCCTGAAACATTAGCTAATAGCATCGCACAGTTTTATGGCTGGAACACCAGTTGTGGTTAGAACCATAGTTTCTTGTTTGCATGACATGTGGACTCAATAAATCCTTATCTTGAGAAAAATAAGCAAGCTGACATTCAGTACAATCAGTATCTTTTATTTAGAATACATACAAATGTAATTTACGTCTTTTAGTTTGTCAAGAAATTTGGTGGTATAATGCCCTTTTCACAAGATGTAAAATAAATCTCTGATGTCCCGATTGTGTATGTGATGTTTTAGTTCAAAATACCCCAAACATATTTTTAAATAGCATGTTAAAGTTGTCACTTTTTGAGGGTTAGCAAAAACGCTCCATTCTGTGTCTGGCCCTTTAAATGCAAATAAGCTGCAGCTCCCGACACAGTGGGCAGAGCTTGAAGAGTGTGTTTAAGAGTGCAGCTCTGATTACCTCACGCAGACACACACTAAAATGTCAGAAACTGTTCTTTTATGTTTTAACCGGAGTCAGACAACGATGGAGAGACTAAGAAGAAGTGACTCCATGTAGAATTCAATTAAATTCTCTGAATGGTTAGTTGACGAATTTATGTTTCTGATGTGGAGTTAACTATCTTAAATTAGCATATTCTGTCAGGATAATCTATAAATCACTCATATAGGAACTATTGTGAGATGCACACAGAGTAACTTTCTATTGCATGTGAAAAGATGGATGCTACAGTTTGAACTGACTCACAAATGTGCTTGACTACAACTCCCCTTTCTCTACTCAACATGGAATGCTGTTCCTTAGGGGCGGGGTTTATGTAAATTTTAGGGTTAGTGATGTCACTAGCCCAGGAGGAAGCTTGTGTAGTTCCTACCAGCTGTTTGTTGTAATTATTAAAAAAAAAAAAATTTCTTTAAAAGCAAATATCTCCCTTTGCTTTGAGCTTTGAGCGTTGTAACTTTTATGCTCAAACAGGAACATTACACACTAACTAAAGTTAGAAAAGTGAATCATGATCAACCAACGCTTTAATTCGATCTCAAAAAGATTCATGCACTAACCAACGTGGTTGAACTACCATTTTGCGAAAATACGGTTTTCGGCAAACATTCGTGACTAGCTAGTCGATTTCTTCAACGATGCAACATACTATGGTAGTAAAGCATCGTTGTACGGGAAACGCACCCCTGAACGATTTGGGCAAATCTTGGTTCTGCCAGGATCACTATCATCAAATATGATTGACAATTAGCATACATTTGGATTGGGGGTATGGTTCCATTCTACCATAGCAGCCTAGCATGGATAAAATAAGGGAGAGCAGCAACACCCCCTGGTAAACAGAACAGAACTAATATGAATCTATGCAGATATAATTAATTCAAGATTTTAAGTACAACATAACTCGAGAATTTATTCTGATTCAAGCGGAATCAGAATGCCAAATTCTGACTGGGCGAGATGAGGAACTGGGGATGGAGGAGGATAATTAGCTCTTGAGTAACGCGATAGCTGCTGATAATACTGAAGGACCTTCCATACTGTATGTATACAGTTATAGGTGTCATATTCCTATCGGTAGACATGGATCAACTGATGCGAGCTTAACTAGCGTGACCTGCCAGAACTGACGTTATGCTTGATTTATATAAATTACAATAAATTAAACCTCTTTCAGTAACAATAAGAGTTCTCATTTTTAAATTATTGTTATGATTTTTATTATGATTAATACTAAATAACAATATCAAACAAAATAGGAAAAACATATTGTAATACAGCTATTGTATCTGCATCTCAGAGCAGCATGTTAACATTGAGAAACACTGTAAAATTGTACCTTGAGTCCCTTTGCCCTGTTGATAGCTCGAAGAGGCCTGAGCACTCGCAATACTCTGAGAATCTTTACCACAGAAATGGCACTCGAACTAAGTGCAGAAAATGAATGAATGAATGAATGAACGAAAGAGAGAAGAAAGAAAGAAAGAAAGAAAGAAAGAAAGAAAGAAAGAAAGAAAGAAAGAAAGAAAGAAAGAAAGAAAGAAAGAAAACTTACTGCAAGAAGAAAGAGGTGAGGGACACACTGACGACCAGAAGGTCAAGAAGGTTAAAGGCGTTTCTGCAGAAGGACCCTTGATGAAGAAAAGCTCCATACACAGTCATCTGAGCAACACACAGTCACACATTGTCCTTAATCTATATACTCAAAACGAAGGTTTACCAGAAAGTTCAAACTCAATGCTCAAAATTAAGCATCTGATGATTTTTTACATGGCCAATACTTTGTGTGAGCTTAAAACCACAGAGGGCTACAGACAGTCCTGGGTACTAACTGATAATCTGGAGCAGATTCTAAAAATAAAGTACTTGTAATTGGATTAAAATATTTTAAAAATCTCATAATCAGACTACAGTTAGGTTTTTTTGGGGTTTTTTTTTTTTTGATAACATGATTACATATTCAATGCTTATCCCCAAATCTTCCATATCATAAAAAAAAGCCTATTACTTTTATATGTTCGTAAAGCCTTCTCGATTTGTGGAATTGTACACACCAGCCACTAGTCATGTGAGAGGTGAAAGCAATTGTCCACTAAATTTAAAGATTGTTTTCTCAATATTGCATATCCAATCAACTTCTGATGAACACATTTGAATTATTATCCAAATTAACATAACCTTTTATATGTCCTTAGAAGGATTTTTCTTTCAAACACGTTAAAATGCACAAATCTATATAATTCCATATTTACATCTAATGCAGTTATTCCAAAACATTTTAGTCAGCTAAACCTCTTTTGAACTTATCCATTTAATAATATAATAATAATTTAACAACTCATTTACATATTCATGGTCCTTTGATGTCAATGTCAAATGGTGTGGATTTTTATGATTTAATGAATTAGTAGTTTTTTTAAAGATCTCACCTATCCCCTGCAGCCCTGACATAAAATGTAATGCCCTTTATATTGTGGAATAGATTTTCTTTCTCTTTATATTTCTATATCAATATTGTATAAATAAAATTGTACAATTCAAATCAATATGATAAATGAGTAAGGTCAAAAGCTATTTAAAAGTAATCAAAAAGAAGTCTGACTAACTACATTACCTAATTTTGTGTAATGTAACAGATTACGTTACTAACTACAATTTTCATAGTGTAATTTACAATCTGTAACTGCAATTTGTAAATAAACCCAGCTCTGGCTACAGATGTAACCCACAACTAAACGTATGGAATAGATAAAAATCAGTTTGGAGCAAGAGAGATTTTAACTCTGCATAGGTTGATCAATAGTTTACCTTCAACATGATCTCAATAGTAAAGACGGTGGTAAAGACATAATCAGCATAGCCCAGCATCTATCATAGAACATAAAGAAAGCAATCAAGAGTACAGTCATTGTCTTTGGTACCAGGGTCAATCTCATGAGCTTAGGTCATATTTCAATTATACTTTGCATATACACTGCTTTTTTGCTTGCTTAGTTGGGGACACTTAATATTCAGCAATACCATTAACTTGACTGCACTGACACCATTGGATGAGAGCTAAAACTTGAACCAAGGCAAGCTGTACTGAGCTGGATGATGACAGTGAAGATACACAGTAATTGAACCAAACTGAATCAGCACTTACTGTAACTGATTTCACTTGAAAAATTACTATTTACTATTGTCTTTAGAGCTGATTTACAACATATGAAAGTCCAAAATATGTTTGAACCAACTGAAATACATTTATTTTTTTAAAGATTTCAACTTTTTACAGAGTAGAGAAAAAACGATTTAAGGACCATTAATTCATATATATATATATATATATATATATATATATTTACTTTTTATGAAAAACTTTGGCTGTTGAAATATGAAAGTCTTCAGGGGATTTAGCCATTTTATTCATCTCTATTAGGCACAAGGGATGGTGTTTGGGAATCATGGGTACCACAGTGCACTTGAGAAATGCCATCTAGCAGGGACATGAGATCTATTACTTTTTTAAGACTATCAAATGCTAATTTGCAGGGCGGGCCAGTTAGTGTGCCTGATGATTTTGGAATTTAAAAATGGTATACAGTATCAATAATTTCACTCACTTTGGGAATGTGAAGAATGGAAAAAAAAAAAGTGAAAGATTTGGACACAGACTGGCCCTCAAGCGTTCTGGGTCTTATCCTCTATTCTAGGCACTAGAACTTACAACGTTCCGGACAGAATGAGTTTTGATTGGGTCTTCAGCGGCCAATGAAAAACTACTCAGTATGATGAAGACAAGGATGATGTTGGTGAAGTAATGATGATGAATCAGGTTGTGGCAGGCAACTCTGAGACTAAGTGAACATTGGCAATGTTAATTTCAAGTTGTAGATCAGAAAAGTTATAGTTAGCAACCATCATTTGTGCTTTTTATACCAGTTTTTCTTTCCAAGGATGAAAAATGAACTTCCATCAGGAATTGGTACAATTTTCTCCTTGGGTTGAAAACTTTCGACTTTCATGGGAGTGCCTATACCTTTGGAGAAAATTAAGATATAAAAACATGTCATGAAGTAAGTTCACATACATTTACTTTGTATAATCAATGTGACTATAAAGTTTTGGACTGGACAGTATTTACCCTCAAGCCCTTCAATTGCTCTAAACTCCTCATTTTCTTCCCAATCATCCATTTCATTCTGAACAAAGAAAAAAAAAATCAGAAAAAGATGACAATAAATGCTCAATTAATCACTGCACATTATATAAAGTCGTATTTTATATATATATATATAAATGTGATAACTTTGATATAATAATACTTTCATAAAATTGATCAAAATGTGATAACTAACCTACTGAAAAAAAACCCTCACCAATAATAACTAATAATATCTTCATCAGTTTTTTACAACCCAATTAAATAAGGATGGGTAAAAAATTTAAATCTAATCCCACTCCACATTATTGCTCATTATACACAGAAATTCTAAATCACATTACAGAAGTTAAATGTGTCTCGAATGCCTTTAAAAGAGAATGTGAGAGAGCAGGGTTCTTACACCAGCATCTTCCTCTCTTTCTTCATCATCTTCCCATTCCTCATCCTCTTCTTTTTTCTCCCTATAAAACAGAACAACCAAATTGAGTTCTATGCCTATGACTGCACAACAATAACAATATGTGAGTGCTGCCTACTCTTTTTTCTTTTTGCCACCATCTCCGGCTAAGTTGTCCACAGCGATAGCCAAGAAGACATTCAGCAAGATGTCTGGTAGACAAAGTAAGTCAAGGACCAGAAACAAGACACCAGATATAAGAATAGCCATATGGACAGGCTAATGCATATGAAAATATGGAGCTTATAAATAGAATGCACTTTGATAAAAGGATACAGTTACCACAGACGAAAAGAATGACAAAGTAAATACAGACAATCATATTGGGAAACACTGGTCCACCATACGCCATGATGCCATCATACATGACAGAGTTCCAGTCCTCCCCTGTTAGGATCTATATAAGAAAGAGTTCTTAGTCTACAGTACACCTCCCAGTTCTGTACACGTTTGTATGTGAATGTAAAATTTCATGTACTCAACCTTTCCAAACCAGTATGTTTTTTTTTTCTTCTGTTCTTCTGTCAGTAACCAACACTTGACTTGGACTTTCATAGTTTTTAATGCTATGGAACTCAATGGACACCAGAAACTGTTTGGTTACTGACAATCTTTAAAATATCTTCTTTTGTGTTCAACATAAGAAAAAACATACTGTACTGGGTTGGAACAAATCGAGGGTGAATAAATGATGAGACAATTGTCATTTTTGGGTGAACTATCCCTTTAAGTTAAGATGTACTGTTAAGAACCACCTTACAGCTATTGCTAATAAACCAATCATTGTTTTGGGAGTAGGATGACAAAAAACATTTCTTAAAGGGGTCAAGCAACTTAAAGGGCTTAATTTCATAAAGGGGTCAAGTCTATTTGAAAATATACATAGGCTTATATTCCCTTGTGAAAAAGAAGAGTCCTTAAAGTCACCCTGAAATCAAAATGACCAATTCTTATTTTTTATGGAATATTGATTTTTTTTCTGTCAATATCATTGTTTTTTTATTATTCCTGTACCCCCTCTTAATATTTAATCAAAGTAACTTTCCCTCCCTCTTACAGCAACATCTTTTCTATTCTCTGATGACATTGTAATTGACGTGCAATCAACCTCTGTTTATTACTATTCTGCCATTGGTATGTGTATTGTGTATTGTGCTTTGTTATTGTTTTTATTTGGTTCTGTTCCTTAAACTTGTCTTTGTAAAGCGACATTGGGTGTTGGAAAGGTGCTATATAAATACAGTTTTTCAATCAAGTCCCACCCAACATTTTTTCTTGTTTGAGAAGCTGTCACAATATGGAAGAAAAGACTTCCCAATACATTTTAATTTAAATTGCAATTAACAAGCAATTAAGAGCTCAAACAATTCACTTCATACCACACTTAGTGTCACACCTAAGTATAATTTTTTCAGTAACACATACTAATTTTAAAAGTATGCTAAAGTGTACTTCTTTTTAACGGGATACCTTTATTTTTCACAGCTTTTAGGAGTTTAGGTAATAATTAGTGTATGTACTTGACCTCACAGGCCGCATAAATATGACAATTGCAAACACTGTCCAGAAAAAAAAAAAAAAACATTGCAAATTTTAGCTTAGTAACCTGGAAACAGGTGAGCAGGGCAGATGGAAAAGTGTCAAAGGTGCTTCTTTTCATTTGAGTTTCATCAAAGTTGAACTTTCCACCAAAGAGCTGCATGCCCAGGAGAGCGAAGATGATGAGGAAGAGGAAGAGCAGCAGCAGGAGGGAGCAAATGGCTTTCATTGAATTCAGCAAAGAGCCCACCAGGTCTGAGAGGGCAGCCCAGTGTCTAAAGAGAGACATTCAGCATGTTCAATGAACCTTGAAAATCAGCATGACTCTTATCAAACACTATATAAAAAGACGCTGTGCTCCTATTATTTATGAATAGGAGAAACTACAATGCGCAATATGGCGGAATACGTCCCACCTTCTAAATAAAAGCTAATCGGTGGTTGGTACAGACATTCTTAGGACAGCACATACACATTGGTTGATCAAGCCCGAAAATATGCTTTATTAATGCTATTTGAGCATAAGAAACAACATTTTTCATACAGCACGTGTCAGATTTTGTTGCTAATTTGAAATTTGCTATTTAATTGTGAGCTCGGCAAGAAGTTTTTGAGATTTCAGGATTCCCCCATTCAAATAGATCGGCCTTGGATGCTCAAAATAGCTTCCCGGAAACTAACCATGAGCAATACATTTGTTACAGTATTTATTCATATTTGTTAATGTTAGTTACTAAAAATACAGCTGTTCATTGTTTGTTCATGTTCACATGCATTAACTAATGTTAACAAATACAACGTTTGATTTTAATAATGTATTAGTAAATGTTTGTAGATTAATTAATGCTGAAGAAGTATTGTTCATTCTTAATTCATCTTAGCTAAGGTAGTTAACTAATATTGACTAATGAACCTTATTGTAAAGTGTTACCGATTTTCCTTTAAAGGGACTTTGCTCTTATTGAGTCTAATTGATTATTTTAATAATTAGAGTTTGCTTTATTTTCTAAAATCTAAAATGAATTACAGGGTTATTATATTGTTATTATATACATTAAGAAAACACTAATAAAAATGACACAAACACACCAAAAAATGACTTTAACAAAAATTGAATTAAAATCTAAAAAATAAAAACTAATTAAAAATAGCAATAAATACTATAACAGTATCTAAAAGTCTCAAACTGAGACTGTTGCTCTCATAACTCATTTAATTAAAATCTAAAAATAAAAACTAATTAAAAATAGCAATAAATACTATAACAGTATCTAAAAGTCTCAAACTGAGACTGTTGCTCTCATAACTCATTTGTATTCAAATGATACAGCCATGTCATTAATACTACACCATTTTACATTCAACGTCAAAGAGTTAGCAACACTTATGAGCTAATTCACCTTGTGACTTTGAAGATACGGATCAGACGAACGCAGCGCAGCACAGAGATTCCGATGGGCGGGATTAGTTCCATCTCCACCAGCACCGTCTCCAGGATTCCACCACACACCACGAAACAATCAAAACGATTAAAGAGTGCCATGAAGTAGATCTGAAAGCCGAAGCTGTAGAGTTTCATCAGCATCTCCAGCGTAAACAGAGCCAGAAGGATCTTATTTGCTCGTTCTGGGACATTAAAAAGACTGTATTTAAGGCAGGGTCAAATCATCTCATTAAAGGCAAACTTTGGCAAAACTTCAGTCACACAAACCCTGTATATCCGTGAGCCACTTGGGCTGGCCGTAGTGTTCAGAGGCGCTGGCGGCAGTGTTGAGGAACACCAGCAGTAGCACCAGCCAGTAGAAATTGGTGGACTTTACAGCCACACGGCAGTTCTTTCTAATGACCACATTTAAGTGGTACAGCTGCTCACTGAGAAAGAGAAGATTCAGTAGCAAATATAAGTAGAGAATTAAATCTGAAACTTAAAAAAAAGATGTAAAATACGTCACTTTAAAATGATTCCTTAGAAATTTCCTTAGAGAACAATTTTGGGTGCTTCTAGTAAAAGTTACAACAAATTAACACTTACCAAAAACTTATAGCCATCAGTCGTGCCCTAATGAAAATAAAGAGTTTAGGTTAATTAAATCTCTGGTCTTTAATCATTTATTATATATGAAACAACAATATTAAAATAATACTTACATGATAGATGAACAGAAACCACTGTCATCATCCAAGAATGCTTCAAACTCAGAGTCTGAATCTGATTCTGTATAAAAGACAGAGGACTGAATCTGTACTTCAAAAATGATAAGGGTAAAGATAAAATGTCTTCATTTATCTTAATACACACAAATCTGAGTGAAACTTCAGTATACCTCCATCTTCACTGTGTTTGTACCAGCCATATTTCTTCATCATTTTTTTCTTAGCCACCACAGCACCTGCCATTTACACCACAAAAAAGAAAAAAAAAGTTCTTCATTGACTGAAAAACAAACACTACACTGCTTCTTAACACGTTTTAGTACTTTTTTAAGTACATTTTAGTTTACCAAAATTGCTTGCCATTACATATAATTACCAGATTTTAATAGAAGCAATTATAATGACTGTAAAAAATTACATTTAAAGAAGTAGTTAATTTATGTCCTACTAAAGCGGGTAAAAAAAACACTCTAAAGTTACACTGGATATAAATATGAACTATAAATCATTTTCATTTAATTGTAATTAACATGCAATTAAGTGCCTACTGTACATTTTTCCAGTGTGATCATAATGTGAAAGGGACGCTAAATAAAGCTTGTATTACGTTTATTTCCATCCTCATCCATGTCCTCTGCTTCAATGAGCCAGTCCATGTAGCCGATCATGTCCTCCTCCATCTGTTGTTTCTCCTGGGCCATCTGCAGTTCACCACGACACACAGCCTTCTCTCTCTCTTTAGAGAACTCACTGTGATGTGCAAAAGACACATGAAATGTAAACCTTCACAAGATGCCCAACAAATGTCATCACAAGACCTCCATATCTTTACAGTATGTATCTGCTCATATAATTTAATTTGCAATGGGGGGCAGAGCTGAAGCTATAACACAAAATCGTTATTTTCAATATTTTCGTTATTTTTTTTTTTTTTACCGTACTAGTATTATAAACACACATATGATTTAAAAGGGTTATACGGGACCAGGGCTTGAGTCACTCACCCGCTCAAAACACCCAACACGAGATTGAGGACAAAGAAAGATCCAAAAATTACCAGAGACACAAAATAAACCCAAGGCAGCTCAAACCCGATGGAATCATTCATCTGTGTGAAACAATACAGAGAGAGAGAGAGAGAGAGAGAGAGAGAGAGAAAACAGAGGTTATATAAAGTTGCTCATGAGCTGTCAAGTGTTTTTTGAGTGGCATAGATTGGCTATAACTTTAAAAAAACAAGGTAGAATAGAACTTTATTTTACATTTCTTTTCCCCATGTACCTAATATGTACTTATTACAGTAATTACAATAACTGGGTAATAACTTACCTGAACCTACCCCTAAACCTAACCTTTACTTTCTTAGGTATGCACACTGTAAAGTACACATAAGTACACAAGCTGTAAAATAAAGTGCAACCAGGTTAGTTAGTGATTATATCCAGTGACATTATTGTTAACCAAAATGATCACATTGGTCATATGTAAACATAAATGTATAGAACTCTCGAGGCTATAAACAGTTTGCTTTTAATTAAAAAAACTGAGAGAGGAGTTGAAATTATTTTCTGCAGTAAATATTTACAGGTTTTGCATTTTTTGAGCTGTTTTTTAAATTGTATAAAAAACATTGCTTTACAGTAACTTAAATACCTCAAATAATCTTCTATTTTCATTAACATTCCAATAAAGTATGCTGTTTGTGTAAAATTCGTAACTTTAGCTAAATAAAAAGATTAAAAAAATTGTAAAAGTGAAAAAGATGAGGGAGAGGTCGTACCCAGTAGAGCACATCAGTCCAGCCCTCCATTGTAATGCATTGGAACACGGTTAGCATGGCGAAGAAGATATTGTCAAAGTTGGTGATGCCTCCATTAGGTCCTTCCCATCCTCCCTGACACACCGTGTTATTCCCCACGCAGAAGCGACCGTTGCCGGCAAAAGCACATGGTGTAGGATCATCGTCCACCATTAGCTCTTTTCACATGAAAATAAACAATTTCATAGGGTTTAAAATCATTTATAGTCAACAAATAAACTAATTTAACTCTTTCCCCATCATTGACAGAATTTTCCATCATTTATGATACAACGCTTCCCTGCCATCGGCGGAATTTTCCAGAAATCCATGTTTTCACTGTTAAGCCGGCCAACACTGTACAATTTATAATAGTCCTTTATGATTGTTGCTTGTCAGACCTCTACGAACATGATGCCCGCTATAAGCCATGCCACACTGTAGGATCTCAATTGTCATTAATGTCAGACTGAACAGCAGTCAAGATGTGTTTAAAGGGATACTAAACTTTTTTTGGAAAATAGGCTCATTTCATTTTCACCGTTTTTGAATCCATTCAGCAGATTTTCTGATATTTAGAAGAATATCAGTAACCAGACAGTTTCTGCTCTCATTGACTTCCATAGTATAATTTTTTCCTACTATGGAAGTCAATGAGACCAGAAACTGTCTGGTTACTGATATTCTTCTAAATATCAGAAAATCGTCCGAATGCATTTGAAAACGGTGAAACTCAACTGTTAAACTCTGGGGGAGTTGTAAAATGAGCCTATTTCCAAAAAAGTGGAGTATCCCTTTAAGCATGAGTTAATTTTGATAATGGAAAACTGGAAAAAGAAAACAAAAAGGTGTTTGTGGAGCAAGTGGTTGTTTGCTGTTGTCTCACTATTTGCGTCATCAGGTTCTGTGTCCTATTAGTTTTGATTTGATGGTTGTTGGAAAAGCCACACAGCAGGACTGTGCCTCAGAACTTCTGAACTTTTTTATTGACTGTCGGAGAACATGTCAACATGAGAACATGAGATCACACTAGTGATCAAAGACTACAAATTTTGATCAAGGATCAAAGAAATCTTTAAGGATTCACAAAATGTGTCTACCAAATCATGGCTAAATCGTACAGCATGTGCCCGGCTTTATACGATAGGGGGAGATACTACACACCTTCTGAAATAGTAAAGAATCTTTGGACCCAAAAAGAAGCAGAAACAAATGATAGAAGCATTATTTACGCACACGTAAGCTCTCCTAACACAATCACCAAACATTAAACAGCAAATAAATCAATATAGGACTGTTCAAACTTTGTGGGTGTTGATGTGACTTGATCTACTTAATCCAGCGTTTCTCAAAAGCCCCTTTTCCACCAAAGCATTTTGAGAGCTGGTCCGGAGCCGGTGCCTGCGCGCGAACCAGTTCTTTGTATTTCGACAGCCAAAGAACCAGTTCTCGGCCCAGAGACCTGGTTCCAAAGCGAGACCAACTCTTTGCTGGACTAAAACCGTTCTTTTACCACATCATGGGTTTAGATGTGTTCTAAACATATTTTATGACCATAATAAAGGATCGCAAAGCCAAGAGAAACATTTGCAGAAACACGATGGAGTCCGCCTTTGTAATTGTTATGCTTGAAGTTAACGCAAGCGTTTCTATTTTTGTAATTTTTTTATTGAAGACATTAGAAGCAAAGAAGAAGTCACAATATAGAACAAATAAATGGAAAGAAAAAAAGACACAATTACAGGGGTACATAACTTATCAGAAAAAATTACATATCAAACGAAAAGATTAAAAGACTTAAGACATAGTTCAATTGTTTTTAAAGTTTTCTTGGTATACGAGTTAATAATCCGAAAGTAATGTTGTATTTGCAAGCGTTTCTAGCTAAGACGTATGGCGACGTACACTGAATCGGAGATCGTCGTCAGATGCTGACTGGGGGTCGGCGCTCACGGCAGTTGACTGGGGGTCGGCGCTCACGGCAGTTGACTGGGGGTCGGCGCTCACGGCAGCTGTGGACTCGGGACAAGACAACATGCCAGTCCTGGCTGGAACTTCCAGGATCTTGGCTAGACTCGACAGATATTCAGACAAAGTTCTTGCCGCAACGGCGATAGGCAACTCCTGACCTGCTGACAAGGACCGCAAAACAGCCTCAGCAGCCGAATCAGCCGCAGCCCTCTCAGCTGCGCTCACGACAGCAGGCTTGGTAACTGTGTCTTCAGCAGCTGGTTCAGGGACAACGCTTACAGCAGCGGGCTCTGGGACAGCGCTTACAGCAGCGGGAGCGGGCTCTGGAACAGGCGGAGATGAAGGACGAGAGGCCCCCCTCCTCCTCCTCCTCTTCTTCCTAGGCCGTGGCACGGACATCATAGACGGACCTTTGACTGGTTGGAGAAGCTCAATGGGGTCTGTGACCTGAGACGGAAGGACAGTCTCAGGAAGTGGCGATTCGGTCGAGGATGACTCCGACGGAGAGTCCCACGAAGAACATCTCCCTCGTTTGCCACGAAGATCAACGGGAGTAGATGCGACCTCAGGAGAAGTGGAGTGGGTCTGTGCCCCTTGAGAAACAACAGCCAGGACCCGACCCTCCGGAATCACAGACAGCTTGGCTGGTGGCGACAACAAGGAGGGACCCTGCGGCTCCTCTAGACAAAGACAATCCACCATGTCCCGGAATGGGCGATGAACCAGTCTCTCTCGTTCAGCCAGAGGTGGGGAAACGTTGAGGCCAGCTATGAAGTAGCGATTTAGGAGGATGTCAGGTAAGAAAAACCTCCTCCTTTCAGCGACTTCAACGTACTCCTTCAACAGCAGCTCACCCTGAGGGGGAATTGGGAGCTTGCCCCCTCTCGAGTCAGAAATGGTCTTGAGCCACCAATCTTCTAGAAGATACAATTGCTGATCTCCAGGTGAAGACAAACAGTCTGCTGGGTTCTGCTTTGGTCGGTTCATTCTGTTATGACGTGGATGACGGATGAACCCAGGCGCAGACAGAATGCAATCACAGATAGTTTATTGTAGACAAAAAAGGGGAAAACAAAGCCCACGAGGGGGCAAAACAAGACTCTGACAAGGACTACTGTGACTGACTAGACAAGGTACTGACAAAATACTACTAGATAAACGACTGACACGAGCAAAAGATTAACAGGACAACTACTCTTGACAGGTACTCACAAACTTGGCATGGATTAACAATGAACCGACAAAGGACAGCAAACACAATGGGAATAATATAGGGAGACACTAATGACAAGGACAGGTGAGACTGACTAGACAATAATGACGAGACGAGGATAACAAGGGGGCGGAGTAAAGAAACGAGACAACACAAGCACATGGCCAAAACAGCTGGACATGCGCTTGCACACAAAACATGGGTCTGTCATGATCCTGCCACAATACTAGGAGAAACCACGGACATGATGGCAGAATCATGACAAAAAGTAGAAACATGACAGGTGGGGCGTGACAAACAGGAGAAAATGTGGTAATTTTGTGCCCATCTCTATTACTGTAATTCCTTTATTTATTGAGCATAAACTCAAAACAAAATGACGACACATTTAAATGTAAGCCTTACTTAACCTTTTAACACGTAAGTTTAAAAAGTTTTTAGAGGCGCCCGTTATTTAAATCGTCTTCCTTTATGATTTCCATGGTGACGCGTCATTGTTTGTCACACGGCAGACACAATACGCCTTATTCACGGCAGCGCCATCTTTGGTTTTTAATGAGAATGAAAGCGAGGCTGTGAGGGATATATTTGCATATCTTCAATGGGCTGTACTGTTATTTATTGTGTTTTCGGATTGTTCTGCATGTAAAACACTGAAAAAATATCTTTCCAAGAAATTTCAGTTGACAAAAAACTCCCGACAATGTAAAAATTGTAAGTAATCTAGGAGCTTTATTCAGCTTTTTACAGCGGATGCCATTGGAAACACGGTAAGTCTATCCCTCACAGCCTCACTTTTATACCTGTCATGGTGCTGCTCTGAATAAGGTCTATAGCCCTGAATGACTGACTATCTGTGTTTATTTCACAAATTTGTTGGCTATCGCAGGATATATCTGATATTCCGTTTGTCAAATATGAGCAGGTGGATGTGTTTTGTTAAACACCTTAGTTGAGCTATACGCAAAGGGTGTTAGTTTATGCCACATTTTAGAGAATCAGATCTGTTGGATTTAACAAATGTCAATTTATCCACTTCTCCCGAAATACATGACTGTAAGTGGCCGGTGAACTGGGAGAAGCATAGAGTCAACTTGAAAGTTACTTACACGATGTGTATTTGATTTGAATAATACAGTATGTGTCGTCTAATTATATAATGTAAATAATTATTATTTTCGCTTTCATAGACATAAGTGTGCATTTGAAAAACTCTAAATGTATTTCTTTTTTAGTAACATTTGTGAATTTAAATGTCTGAAACCTAAAATAAACTCTATGTGGTTGAAAACACTGAATAGTTGTGATGTCAAGCGGTGAGCGCTCTCTGTCTCTGGCTCAGAAAAAAATTGCAGCCTACTACAAACCAGGCTCATTGCAGACACTAAATTAGTTAATCACTTAATTATGAACTTTCAAAGTGCACCAGATTTATGAATTTATCTTTTAAATATTGTAGAACAAAATAGGTGATACAGGTTTCATTATGGCACTACATGTACAGTAAAGACATCTCTGTAAAAGCACTCCAGTAGTAGAGAGAATACACACATAGTGGAATCATTGAACAAAGTGTGTGATATATTGATGCAAAACACTACAGTACAATCACAACACAGGTCAAAGCAAAAATATATGATATTATGCTACATCCATAGATATTGTAGACTAATTGGTTCATGCTCCACACTAATTGGTGACAATGAATCTCGTAATCTTGAAACTTTCATGATTTACTGTAAACATGGAAGATTGTGTGTCTGTTTCCATACAATTATGCAATACATGTAAGAGTTATGCAACAGTTACTTATCATTTTAAGCAGTTGTATCAATTGATAGTTAGATCATTGTAAGGAAATGAATAGACACTCAATTGAAATATAATGTGTGAATTGCCTTTTGAAATAGCCGTACTTTGATGTTAAGTTGTATGTGTATTGTATCCAAGCAATTGAGAAATGGGTTAAAGTTTTGAAAAATGTGGATTTTGATCATTGGTTGTGAGTTTTGTGTCTAGAGTTGAGAAAAATGACATCAAGGTTCTGAAAATAGTAAGAAAGTGATTGTAAAAAAAACTGTATTTTATGCTGTTGGGGACAGAGTTAAACATGCAGACAGAGAGGCATTGCAGCCCGCTTTGTAAGAGCCTGTGCTTGCATTTCTCACCTGTCCCTACATAGTAGCAGGTCTTGTGCATTCTGCCTATGAAGAGCTCCAGCCCAATGATGGCATAAATAATGATGACAAACATGACCAGCAGACCGATGTGGAGCAAGGGCACCATGGCCTTCATGATGGAGTTCAAGACAATCTGCAGACCTGCACACATCACAGCCTGAATCACAATCACTGTATACATCAGAATTATACAGTACACCCGCCGTATACATTTTCTACTCAAAACTACAGAAGAAAGCATGCACACACTTACTAGGCACTCCAGAAACAAGGCGCAGGGGTCGTAGTACTCTGAAAGCTCTCAGAGCTTTGACATCAAGACCACCTGGTTTGCCTGCCGCGTGATGTGCCTCTCCTGGTTTGTGCTCTCCCATTTCAGCTATCACACTGAAAAGACTGCAAATGGAACACACAAACCTGGTAACCTCTTCTGCTGTTCCCTCTACTGTCAATTAAGAAGGTTTATGTAGCTAAACTTGGTCTTCATTAAATCAAGAAAGAAAGAAAGAAAGCATTTTCAACTTGAAAACCACACACATACCCTACAATGACAATGATAAAATCCAGCAAGTTCCACCCACTGCGGATGTAGGCGCTAGGATGCATGACCAGACCGTACGCAAGAATCTTTGTGAATGTTTCGATGGTGAAAATGACCAGAAACACATACTCCACTTGTTCCTAGGAAGAATTAAGGAAGTAAGTAGAAGCAATGCAATATCTACACACACACAATCAAAATTCAAAAGTTTGTAAGATTTAAAAAAATATATTCAGCAAGGATGCATTCAATTTCTCATAAGTCATAGTAAAGACATTTGTCTAAATTTCTGTGCAATAAATGCTGTTCAAATGTTTTGTTTTCTTAAAAATATCGAGCAGCAAAAGTCCAATATATTTAGATGTCAAAGTGAATTTTAAATAGCACAAATGTGTCTGTCAAAATGAAGTTGCATGATATTTAAATATACAAGCTTAATGATTTAGAAGCAATTTGGTCTACACACACACACACATTCAAATACACTCTCTCTTTCACCTAATTCCCCCTTTAACACACATTGCTGAGCTCATTAGCTTTCTGCCCTCTTGACCAACTCAGTAAGAAGCTAAAGCTAAATGCTACCACACGTTAATACCAGCTAGTCATCCATATGCTGAATGCACTACTGACTCAGTTGACATCAAAGTCTAAGCTAACCTGAAAATGGCACTATGAGCAAACTGTAAAAGTTCTATATGGGGGTTATAGTGCAAGTGTATTAAGTTAAATCCAGATTGATGGTGTTGTGTAAGAATAAGAAAAGACAGACAATAGAAAAACAGAGAAGCATGGAGAGGTGAATCTATTAAATATAGCACGGTGCAAGTAACAGTTTGTTGCAATCATTAATATCCGTCAGATAGTATATCATGTGTCTTCTGTAAGGACAGTGAGCGAGCTGCCATAGATAGAGAACAGATGGTCAATACTCTTATCCTGTTTGGTATTCAGAACTGTCAGTCAAACTTCAAGCCTAATGCAATTATAGTGTTGCACTGAACACTAGGAGCTCTGAAGACTTGTACATTTCCTTCTATTGGATACATCCAATTTAACATACAGATCATTAAAAAAAACTCTCAAGGGTAAGTTGTTCAGACAGGGCCCGAAAGCACAAACATTTAAGTACTTTCCATTGACACTGTGTCCTAACCTGCACTGTAAAAAATGCTGGGTTGTTTTAACCCAACTTTGGGTCAAATATGGACTAACCCAGCCGTTGGGTTAAATTTTTACATTACATTTTTAACCCAACATTTCGGGTTTGTCCATATTTGACCCAAAATTGGGTTAAAACAACCCAGCATTTTTTAGAGTGTGGTGCAATGAGAAAAGTCTAATTGAACGCAAAACCACAGGACAACATGCAGGTTATGTAGCGCAAGATCTTATACAAATGAGATTTCACAGTGGAATGAACTAACCAGCACGAAGTCGCAGTAGTAGAATTAAAGTGTTCGTCAAAATGTCCTGTCAATAGTCACACTTTATGCTTTAGTGTGATAGTTAGCATATGCACAAATGGCAGAATCTACATACACACAAAACAATATGGGTGCACTAAAATAAGCATTAATTCATGCTTAACTAATGCTCAGATAATACTGAATAAATGTGTGACTAATGATTATTTAAGCTATTTATTAATGATTACCACATTAGGAACTAATTAAGAGTATGCAAGGTTAATGTATTAGTTCATGCATGAATTGTTATTAATTAAATATGTAATTGTGGATTAATTCCATAATAACTCTTTTTTTAACTAATAGTGTTAATTAATATGTTAATGACCAGAATGAGCCAAAGCCTTGTATTTCAACCTCCAGATAATATGACAGGTACACTAATATGCATTAACACATGATTAATTACTTCATTGTTACAGCAAATTAATGTGCAAATTACTACAATTACTAAATGACCAGTTAATAATGATGTGCCTCAACAAGTGAAGTCATAACATAATGATACCTTAGCAAATCAGTAGCTAATGATTAATTAAAGCAGACAACTGGAAGTTGAAGTGCATATCTTTGACTAATTGTGGTAATTAACGCATTAATTTACACTATTAGTTAATAAAATATGTTGAAAATATACACATTAAAGGCAATAAATAAAGACTGCTTTCAGTATTTAATTGTATATCTGAACATTTTCTATTCAAGAGCTGAGAGTAATTTTTCTCTTTCTCACCTTTACTGTTGTTTGATTATTACTGAAGACATCACATACAGCGGGAGATCTAATACACTGCATTTACACTAATAGACAGATCTAAATATAATATGTGAATTTTCCTGTCTGTTTCCCCTAATCCCTTACGTTTATTTTGTGTCATAAAAGCATGCGATGCAAGTACATTTAATCACTTGCAAGGGGTTGCACACAGTATATAAATGTATAAGGGGACTCTTCCTCATTATTTATGGCTCAAGCTGCACACCATGCAGGTAATCAATTACACATGACTAAAATGTTGAATGTGCTTGGATGATCATGAAGCACAAAATTATATTATGTGGTTTGATTTATTTTGGGTGGTGGAATCAGTTTTCATTTACTGAGTGAATGGCATGGTAGACTCACCAGATTGTGGTTGGTGGCATTGGAATCATCTTCGGGAAATGGTTTTGACACACCAAGGGCAACACAATTTGCAAAAATGGCCAGTAAAATGAATATATCAAAGGGCTTAAAGGTCTATAGTCAAGGAAACAATCATATTGAAAACACAAAAGAAAAGAATGTACAAGGACTGCGCACACACATTGGGTAAAGGATATTTCCATTCCACTAGGGCCAGTGCTGCCATACGTATAGGATTGCTGAGAGTGAGGCAGCACAGAGCTCTGGGAGCACGCAGGGCCGATTTGTTTGCTTGCATGTGCTTCTTGGCTCCTCCAGCTCTCTTTTGCCCTGCAGAACCTGTTGAGTTGAGTGTGTCCGTCTTGCTGGGGTCAGACCCGGCCAAGCCGGCCCCATCTGAAATAAAGGGTATTCTCTTATTAAATTTATGCCTGTGACAAATTATCTGCATCTAATATAATTTTTTAAACTATAAGTTCACTTTGAGTGAATCAAAATTGAGAGAATCAAGATTCCAATCAAAATGGTCACTCCAAATCCGTTTGACATTCTCCATGCAGTATATGGGGTCTACAGCTAGCAAGCAACAAACCAGTAAAAATTTTTAAAAAATATTCTATTGTGTTCATTCAGTTTTGAAACAATATGAGAGTTAATGATGAATATAAGTGGTCAAGCTAAACTATAAAGATATTCATTTCCAGCGAAATGCATGCGATTAGTTTCTAATGTATATGATCTGAATAATCTGTTTTAATGTTTGTGCCATATGAGTGTTAGATTTGACATTTACTCAGCACAACATTAACTGTTTAAAGCACATGGTGCATGATTGAAAGAGGCCAGTAGGCTAACAGAAGCCTTACAGTAATAGGGGATCAGGCAGAAGTGAATAGTTCTAAGAGAAAATAATTCCAAGTATTTGACTCTCCCAAAAATCTATCAATCAAATTTTATGTTGCAAGAACTGCAAGGTTGTGAGCTACAAAAAGCAAACATGTAATTATTATTATTTTTTTTTTTCGAAATAGTTACTGCAACTAGCCTATACACACACTCTCTCTCTCTCTCTCTCTCTCTCTCTCTCTCTCTCTTTTTTATCTTGAATTTTTGTTGAAAAAAATGTAACTGGTCAATAACCCGTTTATTAATTTAATGGAATAGTTTGCACTAGGATATGTCTTTCTACAAGAGAGTTGAATGGTCTCAGTGCAGGTGTAGGCTATGTGGCATATCACTCACCTTTCTGTGTCACATCCATGTCCACGACTTCAGCACAGTGAGTCTGCTGCTTATTCCTACGAATTTACATGAAATAACACCTTATTACACCTTACATATC